TCATTTTTTAATAGACAATTACGAAATAATAGAGCAATAGCATTAAATTAAACAATTAATTGATTTATACCTAGTTCTACAAAATCATATATTAAGTTAATATTCAATAACATATATAGAAAATCATATGGTAAACTTTGTTTTAGTGAAAGTGCACTATATTTTGCGGTGATTTAAAATAGATTTGACGGTTAATTTCTAAACGAAAATAGAACCTTGTAGATTCCTCTTTCGTTTTAAATATTTTTATCGTATTTTAATGATTTAATGAGCCGTAGTCCAATTAATGGACGACAGATAAATTAAAATTGACTTATCGCAGTACGACCGAAAAAAAAAACGAACAATGTCTATTAATATTTAATGAATTTCCGTTTACAACTTATATACTTTAATTAGCGTTTTCTATATTATCGTTATATAACAGCATATTAATAGATTATTATTTTTTATACCTAAGTATAAAACGTTATGTAGTAAAACGCGTTATAAATATAAAATTACTATCAAACCACAACCAAAACATATTAAAAAATTAAACAATTTAAAATGAGTAAAAATGTACAATCAATAAATTTTAAATATATGTTTAGTTAAATATACAAAAGTGATATTTCATAAATTTGATTAATATTTATAATTGTTATATCATTTTAAACTGGCTGTTATAAAAGAGATCAATTACAAAATAACAAATCATTCAAATGTAATGATTAATATCAAATAAATAATTTGAAATATTATTGAAAAATTTAAATCTGTTACAAATTAATTTTACGGCATAAAAACAATAATTTGTAAAAAAATATATTTTTTTTCATTTAAAAAAAAAGAGAATGAAAATAAATAATATTTTAATCCTTTTTGCATATTTTTAATGTAAACACATTTAGGTTTTCTATAATTAGTGTGTTGTTATTACGATGCTTTTTTGGTGTGAAAGGTCTATTTTTTTTAAATATTTTTTTGAAACAATGAAAAAAATAATTATTGATTTATAAGACTATGTAAATATCATTTCATTTAACTATTTTTTGCTTTAGCAAGAAGTTCTGAATAATATAGGAGAATACATGAGAGCCACTAATGTATTTATGTATTTAGTCTAACTTGCTGTTGATGTGTTCTCTTGTCCTCTTAATTTAAAAAAAGGGACAAGACTTATGTTAACACCCAATGCTTTAATTATCATAGAAAACAATAACTATTATTTGTACCAATTATCTAAGCTCGTGACAAGTTAAATTTTAAAATACAAATTTTGTGTCATAGTTACATCACTGATAACATGTAATTATCACTTGAAATTTACCAATTGTATTAATATTATGATTTTTGTTAAAAATGAAACTACTAGAGCAGTGGTCGGCAACGTAGTGCGTTAATTAATTGACAAAAATGCTTAAAATATAGGTTGACATTTTCAGAAACAAATTCATCTAATTGGTATTAATTTTGAGTTTCTTATAATGGCAATTATTTGCGTTCTTTTTTATTACTTCTTTAAGTAACTGCTAAAAAAAAATTTGAATTAATGATATTTTTTTATAAACAAATATTATTATTCACTTGACAGCAATAATAAATAGTAAAATGTATAATGACATTTATATTTGAATTTGATTTAAGTTTTTGTCACACTGTCAGAAATGAAAGCGTTTTATTCGGAGCGCATCTGGGAATCTAGAAAAAAGTGCTTCCTTCCTAACACACGTCCATTCTTTCAGAGACGTATAAAGTATTCGCAAAACAAGGTAAATTAATTCCTCAATTCAACGTCGATGGTTGGAAAATGGATGTAAAATTGCCGTCGCAAAGTGAATATTAGGTGGCTGAATAATTGCGATCGTAATGTAATGTGTTTTGCAGTGTGTAGCGCAGTGAGTTAAGTGTGTATGTATGTAGGTATGTACGAAGAGAATTGGCGTTATTATTATTATCGAGCGTTGAGAGGGCGGAGAGAGACGAAACTTATACGGAAAGGATGAGAGTGACGAAGAGAGGAATACGAATATAGATTGAGAGAGAGAGAGAAAAAAAGAGAGAGCAACAAAGTGTGAGTATGTGAAATAAAGAGAGGGAAAGATTGCAACGTTCCCATTGCAATAAAATCGCGTTTCGCATGCACAATCTAATAAGGGACTGAGGATGGGGGAGGGAGGTTCCGTGGGGGGTTCTGGGTTCTGGCCCCGACGAAAAGCGCAATAAAACATGCAAAACGCATACACAATGAGCCATATTGTGGACCATAAAAATCCACTCCAGTTTCGTATTTTAAAGCTGCGATTTGTAGCGTTCCTCAGCTGTCGTTCTTTCTCTCTTTCTCTCACGCACCTTTCGATGATTTCAGTTTCCACCTCAGACCGTACCTTATTTTTGCTTTCTTCTTGACGCTGCGGACCCCACATGCAAGAAGTTTGAATGAAATTAACACGTCCATGGCATTGACCAAGCCGGGTAATTGATCTTCAACGTATAACTCAATTACCCAAACAAACCGGTCAAAACAGAAGTGTGTGTTCCTTTCTCATTCAGCTCGATGCAGAATAATGCTCTGCTCTTTCTTTTTGTTGTTCTTCTTGTTGCTGTTGTTATCGTCGTCGTCGTCGTTTTTCGCCCCCTCATTGTTCGAGCGGTTCCATCGATAATGCGGATTCAAGCACGTTTTAGCATTGATTAGTTCTGCTATTAATAATAAACACACTCGCCTCAGTCGATGGCTAAAAGGTAAACTAAATATACGATAAAAACACCTGCATCAATAAAATGTGAAATTGATTGTAACAAGAGAGCGGTTTCATAATAATTATGCTGATTTCTAATATTGGCCCTGTTGATAATTTTCCTATAGTTATACAATAAATTTCTTGCTTTTGTACAGAACAAATATGGCTACACGTAATTGAAAATTTTACGTCTCTTGAAGTAATATACTGATACATTTATCTGATATTTTTTCGTTTAACGAGCATAATCCGTTCCAAAATTTCCGGATTTGTAAAACAATTTTCCCCATATAAACTAATGTAATATACGATAATGTTTCCTTTTGCGAGTCATTTTTCTTACAATTTATTTTGCTCGTTATGCGAGGTTCCACTGTATATTAATATTTATATTAGTTAGGAGTTTCTAACTATCTACCTATCAATAACGCAATTTTATATCCTATCTACTATATAAATATATGTAATGTTAATGATTGTTACTAAACTACATATTACTAATTACTATAGCTTTACTATAAACCAATTAGAATTAAATCTAATTATCATCCATCTATATAATAATCGTTTGACTTTCGAATAATGCCATCTATCATTTATAAATGATATAGTCCGGTTTGAACATTTCAAACGAAACTAAATTGTTGAGCAAAACAAACATAAATTGTAAAGAAAATTATTATTTTTTAAATATACATGATTTTTTTCCCCATTATACAGAGAAGTCTTTTTGTTGGGTCAATTTTTGGTGGTTCAAACAGAGCGGGATATTGGCTGAACCGATTATTTGCCTTTGAAAGTGTATTTTTTAATAAATTAATTAGTTTTTTCTGCGATAACAATTAAATACATTGATTTTTTTTAGAATAAACTAAAAACATTTTGCTTGAATATTATGTAAGAAGAGTGATAAAAAAAACTGTAGGTTACATGATTTTATCACGTTTTCACGCGAAAGTACGTATCCCGTAAAATAGCTATATCATATGAATTATTACTTATTTTTTAATAAAACTTTCAGTTTCTTATTTTCAATTGAATCCTTTATTATAATTAGAACTAATTTTCTATTTTTATGCACAATTACAATATACAAAGTTACATTCAAAATGATAAAAAAAACTACGATTTGTAAAATACACAACAATATAAACTAATAGTGTTTTAAAATATTTGCCTTTATGCAATGGCACATAATTTATACATATAGTCGTTATGTTATAGCGGGTTTTGCTACGAATTTCTTACCAATGCCTACAATCTTTTCCAGTGTATGTTTCTCATATCGATAGAAAGTTTTTATCGTATACCAGATGTTGACGGTTCTGGTTCCAGATCTTGAATATCATCCAAACAAATCTCATCAAAAGCAAGCAACTAGGCATCGAAATTGTATTCTCTGATCGGCAGAAGATTATAGCTATAAACTACTGATTTACAAGATAGTGCTGAAGTCAGTGTGGACTTACGGCATACAGCTATGATATGATGAACATCCAGCAATTCCAACATAGACTTATTACAACGCCTTCAATCCAAGTGACTGCATTCCCGCAGTTTATTTTGTATGCAATTTATTTATTTCACAATATTTATTAGCCCATTTTTATGATGAAATTAATCGCTAGTGTTTTACATAGCTTAAAGAAATAATTTCGTAGAACACATAATTTTTGTTAATCGACTTGTGACTATATATTTACCATATATAACTTATTTCAGTTTTCAAAAAGCCTTTACATGTATACTGGTAGAACAGATTGTCCATATACATTAATGGTTTTCAAACATGCTTTAAGAATCCAGGTTTAATTTTCATTTGATAAAACTAATTTGTTTGTAAATCCATTTAAAAAAAAGTATTTTCTAATGAGAAATGTATTATTCTTTGATTTATATTCTTGAAATACTTTACTTACCTTATTTTTGTATATTGTAGATTCAACATATGTTAATTTTTTTTAATATTAATGATTTTTTTATATAAATTAATCTTATTACACTTACATATATTTTTACTACAAATTAAATAATATGTTGAATTTGTTTAATGTGTTTTTTAGAATTAATAAGTTGGAATGTTCCAACATTTTTTTTATATTCATAATGATGTAATATTTACATTTTGAAGAGGATGGAAAATGTATCGATTACTAAAACAATATATTTTTGTGTGGAGCTTAAATATAATTTATTTACATTTCTTATAATACTAATCTTAAACCTAAATATATTCTTATCCATTTAAAATTATAAAATACAATAATACAAATAATAAATTAGTAATCTATATATATATATATGTAATTAAAACACATAATTATTTTTTTACATTTCGCTTCCAACGCTGTCACACGTCGCGAACAAAAAAAAATACAATTTATTCGTTTATGAGTTGACTGAGGATTGCACATTAATTGGGTTATATAATACATGTAATTTATTATCGGTGACGTGTGTTTTCTGATACGTGTATGTGTTTTTAAGGACGTAGATGGGGTGAAGTCTGCGGTGAATGGACATGTGAAGCTTGCAACCTGATTGGTGAGTCTTCAGGGCTGGCGCTCCTCGAACGATCTTCAGGCGGCGTTGGCATTTGGGGGATTCCCCCTGCGAGAACGTACTGAGAGATGAGCGCTTGGAAGGGTAGATGAAGGTGATGGGGTTTGGCTGCCCACGGCAAACCGATGGCCGGGTTGAAGATGGGCGCTGGGAACGGAAGACCCGACCAGAAGTGCTCGTTCGGTGGCAACGCGAGATGCGGATGTATGGCGTATTCCGGCAGGACCTGCTGCTCGGATGGATGCATGTAAGATCCTGGATCGCGACCACCGGATTTCTCGCGCTTCCTCCACTTGGCGCGACGGTTTTGGAACCAAACCTGCAACAATAACAAGAAAGAAAATGAGTATTACAAATTTCTGTGTCTGCGTCGCGCTTCCACACCCCTTCTAGAGGGTCGTGGGGCGGTCGAAAGGGGGTGGCAATTAGCTGGGAAATTGTACGTTGATGTTTAAATGAGTTAGGGGTTGGGGGCCCACGCAGGAACCGATTCCGATTACCCCCATTGTCGGTGACAATGGCCAATTGCGCGCGCTACTTACGCCCGTCTCCCTGCAGAGGGCCGGGATTAATTATCAAAATTGTTTCCAATTAAGATGCAATTCAACGTTTTCCATTCTCCATTATCCGATTCAATCCGGCCATGAAGGCAATTAACCTTTTCCGAGCGCGGACTTCCCCCGCAAATGCGTCTTCACATCCACCACTTGGATCATCATCGTTATGTACTACTAACCTGAACTCTGGCTTCGCTCAGATCCAAACGCATCGCAAGCTCTTCACGAGTGAAAACGTCAGGATACTGGGTCTTCTCGAAAGCTCTCTCCAGCTGATGGAGCTGGAATGTCGTGAAGGTGGTCCTGGATCTTCTGATCTTCCTTGGCCTAGTTTCCCCAAGCATATTATCACCACCCTCCAATTCACCCTCACTGCTAACCGGATCTAATTTTGAATCAGCTTCTGCAATAAACAAAAAATAAATGCAAAATTAGAAATATTCAACACATTAAATAATTTAAAACTATAGTTCGAAAACTAAAAGTTGATTGATTAAAGTATTTTTTTTTAATTTTGATGTATTTCAATAATGGAAACAACTAGCAACTAAAACAACTAAAAGAAATTAGACAATCAATAATAAAATAAAATAAATAAAAGAAACCATGCGTTCACAAAGCGGATCGAATAAACACATATAATTGAGTTTTTTCATCCCAAAAAAAAAAGTTAAAAAAAACTAAAACAAGCAGTTAACATGGTCGGTAATCCACTCCACGTCTCAAGTGGGCTTCGGAACAAAACATATTCAAGCTCCATCCTTCCATCCCCTTTCAATAATCCCCGTCGAATGCAAAACCGTGTCCAGATTCTTTCGCTTTTCCGGCCGAACATTTTTGGCGCTTTGTGAGCTTATATAATATTAATTAAAATCCGATTAACGTGTGTTTACGTTCGCGTTCGCGTTTTGTACGTACGAAGTTTTAGATTGCCATTGAAATCTGCATAAATGAATCAAAACTAAACTCGACCGAGGACTCAAAAGCGTTTTGTAAATGCGCTTCACTCACACACATACATACACAGGGCCAACTAAATAAATGGACCCAAGTTATGAATACTAAGTTGACCCATGGGGCAATTTGCAGAAAATATATATACACACACACTCGCATACAAACCAATACGTGTGTATGTGGTTGTGTGCAAAGCTATCAACCAAGCAAAATTAAAGGGAAACAAAATAACGAATGTAGGCATTTCAACGATTCCCTCCGACCCATCCGCAGGGCCGGAGTATTTATACAGTTTTTTTAAGCTGTTCATCCTCGATGAACGAACAAGAGAGAAAGGGAGGGCACCTAACAAGGGATTAACTAATGCGCGCAGGTAAAAAGTTCCTTTAATAGACTATGCCACTCGATTAAAACTTGATTCTTCTGCCACCCCATCCATGCATACGCATAACACATACAACATATAAAAATGTATTCGCTTCATCCCCCAAATGCCACCCCTATTACCATCATCATCATCATTCGAAAGCCATGTTTCGAGTGCACGTACTTTCGCAGATGCACACGCGCTCTTCATTATTGATTCCTGCATTAACATCTCAATTAGTTGGGCGCAATTTTTTAATCTCCTTTTAATACATTTCTTACGCTCCGGCGATTTTTCGCTTAATCCCTTTGCCCAACATCGAAAGCCCTTCGAATGGGCGACGTCCCTTCAAACTGCAAATAAACAACGACAAAAGACGAAACGCCAATACCAAAAAGTTGATGTTTGGAATTAAGAGGATTTCAACTACCTATACAAAATAATACTTTCTAATCACATCCAGGTATTTTATCATTAACTTTACAATGTCGAAGATACACAACGTACTAACATAATATTCTGCACACATTGTTAAAATGTAATTTCTACTTCTCATTAATTTAACACTATTTCTTTACATTATAAACATTAAAGACTTTCATAGAAACAAAAGTCATTACTTATTTGTTGTTACTCATATTTTATTTCCTTAAAGGATTAATATTTGATTTTTTTTATTTTGCTTTATATTTTTTTTCTGGTCAAAGTGCTAATAACTTAATATTTTTTCTTAATAATGAAATGTGTTTAAATAATAAATGTATGTTCTAATATCGTTAATCATTTAACTGCAATATAATTAATAATTACCAATATTTTTTTCAGGCAACTCATCAACATTAAGTTAAGTTTTCAATTGAAATAGACATTCTTGTTATTTTCAATGTCCATCATTAATTTACATGTCGGAAAGAAAATATAATAAGTTGCATAATACTTCCATCAGCGTCGTCTCAAAATCGTAAGTGAAACGACTCTCGGGCAATAATTAAAATTACGCCCGATCCCAAAATCAAACAATTAACGTAAAAGGGAGGCAATCAATCAAAGCGAGACTGTAATTATTTAAAAATAATTAAGCGGCGCTAAATGAAAATTAATCACCGACGGTTTAAAGAGAAATAGCGCGTTAATTTGTTCCACAAATATTATACATAAAATTAGTTTCCAATTAACGGTGCATTAATTGTAAAAGCTATTATACGTTTTTGCTTCGTGTGCCTCTTTAATTTTTTATTCTATTATTATTTTTTTCAACATATGCTAATGCTTCTAGTAATTATTTCAAATGCATGTTGGCTTTCTTTTTTTTTAATTTTTCCTTCTTTTACGTTGTTTTCGCTGTTAACGCGCTGCACTTCTTAATTACTCAAAGGTTCGCGTCTTTTCGCACCAAGGACTAATTGCTTTCGACAACTGCAGTTTTCTTTTATTTCGCTTTTCGCATAATTTTCTCGCATTTTCCAGCCAGTTTTGTAATTAATTACGTAATTGCTGAATTATATAAAAGATATACCGTTTAGTTTGTGTTGTCATGTTTTTTTTTTCAATGCGAATTATTGTAATTAGCTTCAAAGGTTTTGCATTGGTGAAAGTCTGCTATTATTGTGAGTCAATTATGACTCAGACAACAACAGACATGCATTTTCGTACTTTCTATTCCGATCATTTATATTTTATTAATAATTGTTATAAAAAAATAAGTAATTAAATACCAAAAAAATTCGCAGTACTTGAATTATACCAAAACATATTTTTAACATATTAGTGCGAAATTGTCTTCTATTTATTGATGAAATTTTTGAATGCCCAAAAAGTATAAATAAAAAAAATAGAAATAATTTTAATAGTAATCAAAGAAATGAGTTTTTTTATACAACTACATTAGAATTTGTATTTTTTAAGCAATTTTTTTATTTAAAAGAATTGAGTTGATGAAACAAATGTACAAATGTTAATAATTGTAATTTGATTTAAAAGTTCTTTAAATTTTGAAGTAGATAATTACTATATTTGATGAATGTTAATTAAATATAGTAAACTTGGGTTTTTATTACAATTTATATGTTTGTGCGAATTTACATCTGTGAAGCGTTAGAAAATTAGTTTGATACATTTTCAATCAATATTTATAACTTGTTTTTTTCTATGTGAATTATTCTAATTATTTTAAATGTTTTGCGTAGATAATGGAGATGCAAAAATTAAGATAATTATCCGTTTTGGGGTGGAAATCCTGTTGCAGGATATCAATTATGACTCAGACAACATTGAATGGTAACGAGCGAGCGAGGCGAACGCACAAAAAAAATGATATTTCCTGCAGCTCGTTACAATGTAATATAATTAGGGTTGCAATTGTGCGATCCACTCGTAGTTCGTCCCCTCTTCGCCTTCAAACACGTGCACAAGGACCTAATTGCATATCCCGCATATGGTCAAAACACCCCCAAATAAAAAAAAATCCTCACAACTGATCAGAAAGCAACGCTAGATGTCGCGAACAATTGTTTATTTACCTTGGCTGTTCTTCCGTTGTGGCGGGGAATTCGAAACACCCAGGATCTGATCTATGGTGTAGACGGCCCTAGGCCTAACTTCTTCGGAGCCCATCACTTGGTTCTGCTGCTGCGACATGCTCATCATGAATAACTTCACTGATTGATAGTTTAAACTAAACGCACAATTATATAGAGTCCGAAAAATCACTTTGTGTTTCTTGATCTCTTCGAGTTGTAGTAAGTACGACCTATTCGAAGCACTCTTTGCATTCAACTGAAGTCTGTACCGTCCACTTGGTCGTTAAATAGCGCGTAGCTCCGCCCACAGAAATTTAACCAATCGAAACAGTGGATTTGCAGAATTAGGCGTGCGCACGGCGCGTGGTGGGGGTTAAACCACGCCGCCTCTTGCCGTTATTATTATTATCATCAATGTAATCATCATCGTTTCGTGTTATTATCATCATCATCATCGGCGTCATCAACATTTCCATCGCCATTATTACTATTATTACAGAGATTACGAGATACATATTAACACTTTTCAATTACTACACGTGTATATATAAATACTGTTGCACTGGTTGTTTGAAGATCTGCTTGTATTTTTTTTCTAAATATGCGTTATTCTTTTTTTTCGTAGGGGAGAACGATGTGGCTATCATTAGGATGGGAAATTAATCAGGTGTTTTATTGACGATGATCATGACGCTGATAATACTTTAATGAAGAGTACTTTATTTATTAGGTCCTTATCGGACCGCGTTTAATATGACTTTAATAATTTAATAACATTTATTATCACTTGCAAACACACTTGTTCCATATTTTTTCCCTATTATTATTCAATGTTATTAATATGTGTGCATATTATAATAACAATCAAGGCGGTTTGCGCAAACAACGCCAACAATAATAATTTATTATTTGTATGTTTTTTCTTCTATAAAATATTTTGTAGTTTTTTTTGTCAACTAAAAAATAATTGATTTCTCAAAAAAAGAAACTAAAAAAAAAATCGTCACAAAAATATTTTGGGTTTAAATTTGAATTTAAAATTGTTTTTTTTTTCTTTTCAATTTATTTTGTTTTGTTGAATTTATATTTATGTGTGTGTAATTTTAGAAAATATCTGGCAGTTTTTTATAAAGTCAGACAATTTTAAGTTTAAATCGTATAATACGTGAATTATAGTGATTTAGATCACAAAACGGATCAATTGTTATATATATTTAGTAACAATATTATTTTATAAACTTATTTCATGATATTCTGCAATACAATTTTTCTTTTTATTTCAGCATTAAAAAAAACTATACAGAAGTGACAAGTATTACTTGAATGTAGGTATGTACTCATTAAAGTACAAACAAGTATTTAGGTGTGTGTTTGATATAATCACATAAATATGCTAGTACTTAAGACATTTTAATCATAAATATATAAATATATTTTTCTTTTAAACTAAACTATGAAAATATTACAATATTAATTAATAAAACAAAAAATATTAACTGCTTCAAAGGGCTATTGACATTTCAACGCTTTAATTAATTATTAAATTAATATACTTGATATATTAATAATACAAATATTATTATTGTTACAATAATCAAATAAAAATAAGTAATTAATTAAGTTGTTTATAATAAATTCTTATAAAAAGGTAAGCACTTTGAAGTATCACCGTGTTTGCTCTTAAAATACATTTGTACACTTTGTTGCTGTATTATTACCCAGCATATAATAATAGTAAATTCAATAATTATAATGTATATATTACTAAAAAAAAAGTGTTTCATTGTATTTACTTACTACATTGTAAAATCCAATGAATTTCTATACCTTAGTTCTATTACCATAATAAAATACAATTAATTAATTCATTTAATAATAATAAAATTGTGTGAACATATTTTTGATTTTTTTTTTCTATATGAAAAATACGATATAATTCAACTGTTAGAAAGAGATATTGACCACAGATATTTACGCCCTCATTTTTATGATTTAATAGTAATTGGTAAGGAAACTTTTTTTTATCTATATATAAAATAACATAATTTATAATACTTTTTATTACCTTACGCTTTCTGCAATAAAATATATTTTTTATCATTTTTTAGAACATAGTTATAAATATTTATAATATATTTTAATGCAGAATAAAAACTATTTAGAAATATTTTCACAGCAATAGTTCTTTTGCCTTGGTGGTGAAATGGCATTATTGTCAATATGACCATTATCTTACTAATCTGGCTAGAAAAGATGGGAGGCAGGCTGAGGCTAATACTATTGTATAGTTTACAGGGTCTCAATTGCAAATAGAAGATTATCCCCCTAATGATACCTACGAGTTTAGGAACCGAAAATAGGATTGCAGCGTTTCCATTTTCTCAGAATAATGATTTACAATAATTTTCTCAGATATTTAAATAATTCATTTAAATGCGGGAATTCAAATATCGTAGAAAAAAAATGAATAAACGAAGAACTCAATCTAAGTACAGAAAGCGATTTCGCCACAGTTTGAAACCGGACTAATCGAGGACTTTAAAACCATATTAATTTAATTCGTAAGTACTACTAATGGGCCATAGTGACCCACCTGATATATGTTTTCATTCGAATTCTATTGTAATTTAATTGTGTTGTTTGACCTTTTAGCTATTCTAGTATTTTCTAGAGCATTTTTCTGAGTGTATTTTGGGTCAAAGTGTAAGCAAATGCGTTATTGAAATATCATCAATATTTTGATCTCAAAGTGGAATAACTTTGGTTTCCCATGTACCAAAACACAAATCAATAATTCTTATACACCTGACTAATACTGTGAATTAAAATACCAAAAAAAAGGATGAAAATGTGCGTTTATTTTATTGTATATTAAATATCGCTGATATCAAGAGTAGAATTGAAAATATCATTAGGTTAAAATATCTGTTGAAACAGAACAAATTCTTCCAACAAAAAACAATTTTAATTCTATTAAATTAATTAAACTATATGAATTAATATGTGTTTATTCTAAAATCAATAATTTGTTCTATTTTTTTAATTTTTTTAATAATCGGGCCTTTTTGACTCATAAGTAGTAACAGCACATTTTCCTCTACAGAAGAATTAAAGTGGTCATTTATATATTTATTTTTATTTTACTCAGTTAAAATTTACTTTCTTTTGAAAATAAATCGCACTATGCCAAGTATTGTTCTACAATTAAAAAAAAAACTTCAAGTACCCATTATACTAAAAAATATAATCAATTTAAGAAGATTTAAATACAAATAATTATATAATAACACAACCAATCTTTGTATATTGTCGAATTTTATTATCAGTAGACAAATTGTAAAAAAACAAAAATATCCACAGATTCCAAACTATTGCAATGTCTTGATTTTATCATCATTATTAGCACAAGGCTTTTAGCTAAAGAAATTTCTTTATAAACAAAATATAGTTATTGGTAGTATTTTTTTGCATTCCAGTAATACATGAGTATCAAAATTTAAAATGAACTTTATTTTCTTTCATCTTAATAACTTAATCCAAACCTTTCAGATTATCTACAAAAACCAATTGTTCTAAACAATTCTGATATATTCAGATATTATTTACTTAGCGGATAACCTAATTAATATTTAATAAAAAATAAATTATTTAGCTTGAACTACAATACATTTGTATTTACTAAAAAATATATATTTTTTAAATACAAGAAGCTTAGTACCATTTTCGTTTAATCCAAAATCTAAAATGTACTTGTCGCTACCTGATTTAATGATCTTCGAGTTTACATTTTTTCCTTCAACTGTATATTACTATATAGTAATCCGATTTAGTGTATACCTGTACAATGTTTTCTTAAACAAAGAGCAGCTTCATCGCACTTGGCCGAACACATTTCATTTTTTCCTGGTGTTTCTCTTCGTGTTCTTAACTTACACTTTTAAAGAGATTTGCAGCAATTTGGGGTTTTAAGTACTCACAATACAACAGATAAAGGTTTCCCCAAGAAAAGGATAATAGTGATATGTATTTTTGAATCTTAAAATTGGATTTAGAAGGCTTGAAATAATATCATAGAAATTAATATTTAGTTTTCAAAATAATTGATAATATCTGAATTGTTATATGTTGCATTGATTTTTATTAACAGCAAATAAAATGGTTTTGTTACATCATTCTAACTATAAAAGAAATTGTTTTGAAATATTGTTCATTTTATAATCGTCTTAGTAAAATCGAAAACTGACAAATATACAAAATAAAATTGATTTGCGGTAAGTTTAAATATAAAATATTATTATTTTTAACCATGAATGATTATTGATGATTATTGTTTCATTACAAACCTCAATGTCAATTATGTTTAATTAATTTTCCTTTTATATTCAGTTTTCTAATAATAATATAAATAGTAAATTCACCTGAAATTATTTCAGTTTTAAGAAAAGAGAAAACGTTAATACTAAATTTAAAATTAATTTTACAATCATTTCTATATAAATCGGATGAAATTATTTGAGTTTTATGGTAAGAATATAAAAGTGTGTGGTTCTTGAGGGTTTTTGGTAGGTTCTAAGCTACCTCAATATATATGTCCTTTCGGATTATCTTATTTATAGGTGGGTTGTAAATAGCTGAAAACCGATGGACTAATGACTTTTTGTCCATTTATACTTATTTTGACATTACTTCGACGAAAATTTATTACTGGTGTGACTGATGCGGTTTTTTAAATTGCTCTGATATAAAAATCGAGCTACTGCTAGTAAAAATAGCTTCTTGCTTGAAGTGCCGTAAGTAATTCAAGCCAATTTATTATTAGGCACAAGTTTGATATTTCTAAAATACATACAAAAAATTAAAACAATTTTTGCAACTTGTTTACAACTGTAATTGTAGATATTAACAAAAAACAACATACTTTTTTAGTAATTAATATTTTACTATTCAATTTGTATAGGCTCGTATATATTTGAAATTTTAATTTCACATAGATTTTGACAAAAGACATAGCAAAACTTTGAGGTTGTTTGTATTTTCTCGAAAAATACAATCAACTTCAATCACAAATACTATTTACATTATTGTGAAAGATGAACATTAGTTTAGGACAAACAATATTTACTCATTAAATTCCTCTTTAGATAACTATTAACACATAATTAACACCTATAACAATTATACATTGAAAGTACATTTACTCAAACGTAGTTAAAAACATATTATATAACAGAAATTAACCACCGA